CAGATTTTTGTCAAAGCACTTCAGATATTCATTGCTATCGGGATGTTAAGAGCATTCCATGGAATATAACAAAAAGTGTTTCTCGAGCCGGTTTCTCAAACTTACCTAACCCACCTTTAACTAGTGATTATGTGTTCCTTTGTGTATCCTCTTAATAATTATCCTGAAAGAGTGGTAACTTGTAATTATATTTATTTGTTGGCTTCTTCGGGGAGTCACAACAGCTGTAAACGCATAAATCACATAGTATACATTTGTTATTTGGAAAGTTGTTTATTTATTGATGTACTGTATTTAGATTCATAGCAAAATTACCATCTATTTGCAATTCTGTTTTTGTCACCTGGGGATTATTGATCTATGTTTTGGTCTCCACCGACTCCTGAGGGAAGTATGTGGTTAGCAGCTAGATGCTCCACTCTGTTCACCAGCTGGTCACTGACTAAGTGTGCATGTGTGTTGTTTGGCACACGGTGGGTTTATTTGAGCTTTTTAGCAGGAAAGAGTTCAAAATGTATCCCACCAACCAAAAAGCATCTAAAATGCTAACTTACTAGCCTACTCTTGGGGACATGAGTAAAAGCATGTTATATTCTTTCTACTGTAGCTTTGGAAAACACACGTTATCTTAAGATTTCATCCGTGCCAAGCTGATTGCAACAGTCGGAACATGTGCACACTTTTTGGAAAGGATTTATACATTTGACAAGGGAAAACCCTTGCATCAAATACTTTGCTCTTGTCAAGGCTCAGTTGCTCCATTTTACAATCTGTAGCCCTTTATTTGTTGCAGTTGTGCATTTTAAACAAACATACTAAGCTTTAGTTAGTCCAGTGTTACTTGAGATGGTCTTAGTTCATTCCTGGTTCAACATTTAATAAAGAAAGACTTTTTTTTAGATGCGCAGGAGAGTTGATGAGTCAAGTTTGCAGTGTTGTAAAACAATAAGTCGACTTTCTGCATCAAGTGCTGGTTGAAAGTGTTGTTACTTATAATAACCAGCTCATTGCAGATGCTATTCACTGTACATTATTGGGCTACATACAATATTTATGACAAGAACAATTAAGTCAGCATAATTAAAACACCTCCTGCCGTGAAGTGCCAGTGTCCCACCAATGGGTGCACTCAGCTGCTTGGAGGCCCAAGGCAAAGATAAGCTCTTGAAAAGCACCCACCCTTCCAACTCATTGAAACTGGGTCAGAGCAGAGTATGCATTATGGGCTGCTGTTGTGAAGAACACTACAGCTAGAAAAGTACACACACTGATTGGATCATGATGGAATTACTTATTATGTTGATTCAGCATTTACATTTCTGCCTTGTCTCCCTTGGCTCCTGACATTAGTTAAAATGCACCTATCATGCTATTTTTAGGCAATAGCATAGGTCTCAGATATATAAAAAACATGTCTATGAAGTGTTTTGCTCAAAATACCAAACAGATCACTCATTCTAGCCATGCCTCATATCCCTCTATTTCACTTCCTGTTTCAAAAGTGCTGATTTTGGGTATAAAGCTAGATAAAAAACAGATAAAAAATAAAAAAGGAGGGGGCTGAGCTCATGCGGGACCCGGCAGCTACTGTCTAAACTAAATACTGCCGTGATCAAACGCCATATCATTGATTATCAAGGATTATTTCTGAAACGGCATGGAGCTCAAAGGCTTTCTCTCTTGCCGGTTATACCACTAGGTGAGTTCCTTTTTATTTCCTGCTTCTTCACACACATGCTCTCTCCAGTACAGGTTAGCTCTGAGTGTTAGCGATGCTAATATAAACACCGACCATATTACGTCCAAAACAGTAGGGCATTGTTTCTGATAGCAACTTTCTGATAGTGCCGTGAGTCCACATTTCCGATATTACGCCGTATCGGACGCAAATCTGGATCAGCTCCGTTGTACCCCCGTTTTTAGAGATTTGGGTACGGAGAAAAAGAGAGAGGGTTTTGTTTTCTGACACACCGGGGACACATATTTATGTATAAAAGACATCACAAAGTGCATTTTGCATGATAGGTCCCCTTTAAATGGTTCTTACAGAGGTGATTGTAAATATATGATTTCGTATTTTTACATGGCCCTGTTGGATACTGGATTCAGATGCTTTTTTACTTACTTAGAGGAAGCAATTAACCCATTTTTTAAATTGGTGTTTCTTTATCAAAATATGAATTTATAGTAGCCTTGTAATAAATGTGATAATGTACATCAAGTGGGTCATCAATGTGAAATGAACCTCTTCGGTAGATGTAAGATCCTTTCCCTGTCCGTGCTCATTTGGAATTAATGACCCATTCACTTTACATTTTACTTTACATATTGTATTTTTAGTTCCCCTTTTGTGCAGTTGAGACCTACCTTCACCTTATAGTAAGCCCAGTCCATTTACTGTTTTTAGGTATTGGATGTTGTGTACGTCAGGTCAAAGGTGAGCCTTTAATGGTGTTACTTCTATGCCACAAAGTGGATAAATGGACAAATATGTCAGAGCAGGACATTTATGTCTGTGTTTTTACACATGATGTCAGGAATAGATAACAATAGGGGAAGAGAGATGCATTATGGTCCAGCAGGGCATCATCCCATTAACCTGCCTCTGTAGAGAAACATGGGAAGCACTGGAGCGTACCAAGAGCAGTCCCTTCAACCAGAGATTGTGAGAGGAATACAGTACAAAATTCTTCACTAGAAAATTCACCACAAAGGTTTAGTTTGGATTTAAATATTGCCTGCAAATGCCTGCTAGAAATGAAAGGATTTTTATTATCACACAAACTGCTGAGAAAGCACATTGACTTTACGGAATAGTGTGTGGGGATGAATACAATATATTCACTGATTTTTAAAGACAGACAACAGCAATACAATGATTTGGAAAAACAGAAGCCTTAATGTCTACAATACACACGTTTTTATGAATGGCACCATCTGTTTTCTGTCGTCCTTTCATCACACTCAATTCTGTATGTAGTGGAAACATTGTGAATATTTTGAAGTTGCAAAGACTTGAATATAAAGTAGAATGAGATTGGATGGAAATATATTTGCACACTTTTTTTTTTCTAAAATAAATATACAATGCTCATTCAGGAATGAACAAATTGTGATAAACAAATAGACACAGCCACATCTCCCTTTGAACAACTACACTTTCCTGAATATTTGTGTGCCTAATGCAGGAATTCAAGCAAAACAACATGAGGAGGAAGGTCTCTGGATTAGGTGTCCATGGTTACACTAAGTAAATAGGTTTTCCAACGCACCACAAATAATCAACTACTACACAAAGTTGTTTCTTCAGTTTCAGTTTGTTTGAACGATGTTGAGCCAATAAGCCTTGAATAAAAATTGTTTTAACCAAACCAAGAGATTTCAGTTCGGTCAGCTTTTTTTAGCTACTTCAAAATACAAAGGCTGCCAAAGTTACTTGTCTTAATTTCGAGGATGTGTGCATGCAGTGATAAAAACACACAGCTCTCTAATTTCCTTTGACACCTCAAGTGTGATTGTGTTTAACAGGGCTGTATATATTTCTCAGAACGACCTGGAGGGAGTGAGCTCAATCCCACACTCTGGACGTGGCGCCAGCTGATTTACACTAATGACAAACTTGCTCTTCTTCTCAAGATAGGCGGCTTCCTGGAATTGACGCCACTTTTGGCCTTGCTCGCCTTCAACCCTTATCTTGTTAGAGACGATTGACAAAAGCAATTACCTGCAGATGCAGCATTGTCCCTGACAAACAAGGTAACGTAGCAGAGGACAACAGCTCTCGGCATCCTTCAGCATCTCTCATCCTCAGATGCTGCTCTGATGTTGAAACATTTTAAGCATCTTTCCTTTGGGGAAATGTGACTGCAAATAGCATTGCTTTCAGTGCTGACACTCAACAGCCCTGGCAGTCTGCACTGACCATCCACTCCTACCCTCCTTTAAAAAAACTGCCCAAAATAAAACTTTCCCTTCATCTTTCTCTTCGCTCTCTTTAAGCCTTTGGATTGACGCCCCCTTTGAGAGGAGGCGTCACAGCTCTGCTTTCTCTTCCTGAACTATAGTCTCACGCTTTGTTTACAGTCTAGAATGAATAAAGAGTTTGGTATACTAAGGCCTCCAAATAAACAGACTACAAACAACACTCATTTTTATCTTGAATACAAATACAATAACAAGAGCAAGAGCATTTGTCTTGAATAGTGGGGGGTTGTGAGAGATCTCTACTGTATTTGAGAACAACCATTATATAACAAGATATGCTGTTTTTACGTGTTAGTACTCTCAATTTGGTCGGAAAAATGCAACTGAGCTGAACTGTGTCACGAGAAATTCCTTCGAGAGATTAAACCCAACTGAAAGAAACATAAAGACAGCATTGTGTTTCATTTTGCTGCAACAGAGCAGATGATTGGAAAGCTAATTGATTTAGGAAGTGAGATTTAACAAGGGAGTTGGACTTCTTGTCAGATGGTAATCGGGAAGAAAATGACATAGTGCTCATGTAAATATTTCCTCCTCAGAGAATGCAACAGGCTTTAAGAGTAATGACAGTGCTGTCTAGAGAAATGACATTATTTAACATATTCACAACAGTTTCAAATTACATATATTCCAATTAACACCAATTCCATACCAGTAATTGTTCAAGATGAAAATACAATGCTTTTTTCATCACTTCCTGTTAGTGTGTCTCGACCCAGACATTTCATTTGTTTAGAGAGTTTATGAGTCCCTTTGAGATAACATTTCCTTCCTCTAACCTCTCCCAGACTGTCTGATAATCTTCATGAATAAAATAGTGCGGAACGTCAAGTGGAATAGGAAATATACCAACACCTTCACTCTTTTTGCCTTTAGTGATATTTTAACAACACCCTCATGAATATGTGCATACTTCACAGAAACAAATTCATTAACCTTCTTAAAAATTCCTTTTAAGCACAACACCCTTCAAACAGGGTGATTATCTTTGGCAGGCGCCAGTAAGCCGTAAGATGCTTTGAAGACATTCCTAAGAGGATATAAATAGTGTATCTATCCGCAGCACCCCCCTGCAGACAATAGTCTGATGTGGAGCTGGCCAGCCTTCTTTTCACTACTTTTTTTCCAGAAGAAAATACAGGAACTTCTCATGCATGTTTCATACAAAAAAAAAAGACATTACATATACAGTTTTGGTCCCAGATGCATCATGAAGCAACCAAGCCTGTGAGGTGAACAGTAATGTGCAGCAACCAAAACATTCCCTGTTCATGTATGTCATAGCTTTCTTAATAATGAAGATGACTTTAATACAGCTTTATAAAGCAAAGGATTAAAGACGCGTGTGGATATTAAGCTCTCGTATTCAACCAAGGAGATTTGATGTTTGATGGAAGTGGGACTGTTTTTCTTTATTTGTTGTGTGACAATATCTGTCCTCTGGCATGTTCAGGAGTATGACAAATTAAATCTACTGAAATGTGTTTTTTCTTAGCATGCAGTAACATGAATGAAACCAAAATCAGGCTTTGTAGCAGGATGGGATCTTGCATGGCCTTAATCTTGTTGAGGTATTGTGAGGTGTTGAAATTAAACACAGATTTATTGAGTTTTTGCACGCACAGGCCCCAGCTTGGACATTGTGTTCTGGTGTGATGGTGCAGTGGGGGTTTAAGATTATACTCTTATGTAAGCTTGGGGGTTCACTGATAAGAAATGGCCTCGCTGTAGCTTAAACAGCAGCAAGTTTAAATACATGTGTGTCTAAAATACTTACCAAGCATTTCTACCACATGATAATAAACATAAATCATTTGAACCATAGGATTTTATTCTTTATATTTTCCCATGACGCACAGGCATGCTGCTAGCCTGCTTATCCTCATGCTCATATCTTATATGATGGGGAGTAATCTTCTTTTTATCTTTACACAAAACACCCACTGTGCACCAGCCTCCAGCTCTGGAATCACGCATTTTAAACTTCATTCATGACTTCAATTTCACCCTGAAGTTGCTTTTCCCCCCGGCTTGCTGCAGTACGAAATATTGATCCATTATAGAGGAACTTCTTGTTCAAAGGTGCGTGTTGCAGGACTTATTATACAATGACCTATTATTACAACTGTGTCATATGCATCTAATGATTGATTAACTGCGTTTGATGCATGCTTGCATCGAATTTTAAACCTTGATGAACTGAACATATGTACCTTTTTGTTTTGCAACTTCACATTTTATTCAGACGAGTTAGCCTATATATTAAAATGAATGTGGGGAGGGAACACAGTCAGTAGAAGAAGAATGAGTTCTTATATATAACCCCTTTTGCCCATTGAGTGAAACTGGCAACATTTTGCCCACAGGATTCCTTTGCTTAAGTGCGTTTTGAAGTTCTGCATACGATTTTCTTGAAGGATTTCCTGAAATCCCTGTTGAAAATAGTGTATATTATAGGGTTCACAGAACTGTTGCAGTAGCCAATCCAAAAAAAAAGGTTGAAAAGTGCACCAGGGATGTAGCAGCTCTCTCTGCAGATAGCATGCAGGCTGTAGGTAAAGAAGAAGGGGAACCAGCAAAGCACAAACACCCCCATCACAACAGCAAGCACGAAGGTGAACCGTTTTTCCCTCATCTGGGCCACCTTGGTCTTGTTGGCCGCGGCCAGCTGTTGTCGCGCAGCTGGGTGCTTCTGCTCCGGGGGGAGCTGCAGCGCCCGGGCTGAAGCCCAGGAGAGACGGCAGTTCTGAGGCGGGCAGCAGTCTGACCCCTCCACCTTTCTCCGCTTGTTAAAGCGATGATTGCGGGGTTTAGTATCCGACGGACAGCAGCTCTCCTCCAGGTCTATGTCATCCAGCTCCCCCTGCCTCCTCTGTTGACTCCCGGAGCTCTGGCTGCTCGGGCTCTCCGTCTCAAACCGGTCATTCCTGACGAAACATGTTTCGGACTGTGAGGGCTGCCTCTCCAGACCGTTTTTGGCCACGAATACGGTGGAGGAGCGCTGTTTGGCAACCTTATAGATCTTACAGTAAACTAGAATCATTATGAGACCCGGAGCGAAGAAGGACACCAGGCACGAGGAAAGGATGTACCAGGTCTCATCGTTCAGCAGACACTCCCGTTCATCATGTTTGGTCATGAGGAGAGGAGGGAAGGAGATGACAGAAGATATTACCCACACTATAGCGATCATTGACTTGATGCGCTTAGGCGTCCGCTTCAGGTTGTAGCTGACCGCCTTTGTCACTGACCAGTAGCGGTCCAGGCTGATCGCGCACATGTGCACGATGGATGAGGTGCAGAATAAAACGTCCAGAGCCAGGTAAAAAGCGCACCAAGTACTCCCAAAGTACCAGTAGCCCATGACCTCATTGACGAGGGAGAAGGGGATGACCAGTGTGGCCACCAGGATGTCCGCTGATGCCAAGGAGACCAAGAAAAGGTTCTGGGGCGCACGGAGAGCACGACTGGTCAGCACCGCTACAATCACCAACACGTTACCGACAATGGTCACCGAAATAATGATGATAACCACAAAAATGATGAGCGCAGTGGCTGCCCCGGTGTGTGGCAAGCCAAGCGGTGCTTCCGTGGTGTTCTCATCCTTGGATACGTTCCCCATCAACACATCTAACTGATTTAAATCCATTCTAGCGCCAATTTGTGCTTTCGGATCATGTTCGATGTTTGCCACCGTTTTCCATTCCAAAACAGCTAGGACTGGCTGTGCTGAACTGCCTTTCACTAATGCATGGTGATATGTTGTGCGTAACGCTCCTGGTCAGTACGAACCGAGTGTAGCCCACATAAGACGCAGTACCTGCACACATGCATCTCCTCAAACAGCAACCCCATAACATAGGTTGTTCGATTTCTCCTGATGAGCACACAGGGTCCCGACAATATCACAGAGTTTTGTATCCAACTCTCCACGAGCAGAGTCGTTCCTTTTCCGTCACATCGTGGTGCGTAATGCTGCTTTATTTGCGGTTCGTTGAACAGCTTCGCTTTGGAGACACAGTGCTGCTGCTATGAATGCCCACACAGAAGTGAGCTGACATCATTCCAACTTCAACCCATCTCTTAACTTGAGAGAGAGAGAGAGAGAGAGAGAGAGAGAAGAGAGAGAGAGAGAGAGAGAGAGAGAGAGAGAGAAAGAAAAAAAATATTACAGGCATGTTGGAATTGAGATGTCTTTGAAATGTATCTTCAGGCTAGCCCCTGAGTTTGTTGCATTCACACTCAGGTGTTTTCATTCTTTTCAAATCTAACTTTATTTGTTGTCTTTTTATTTGTTTTTATTAGCATTACATATAGGCCTTACATCATGCGGTGAGTTGGAAAACACCAACAGTTTACACAACCTACTACTTTAGCTTTCCATTATAATCAATTGTAAAGATTATATTGCAACATGTTCATAGCAGATCCATGACAGCAATATTTATGGTAATAATAATAAAAATAATGGGTTTCACTTATAACGCACTTCATATTTGAGTTCAAATCCCGAAGTGCTACAAGCAGTGAGCATGGAACAAAAATAAAAACAGTACACAACATGGTAGAATGAATAAAAAGCAGTAAAAAACAAACAATAAAAAAACTCTGACATGGAAGTCGGAGTTCCTGATGGAAATAGTGGTTTAAAAGCACAGCAGGAGGTTTGTCTGAACTACTGTAGCAGCCCTGCATGGTTTCCAATTAGGACGTCATAGTGTTCAAAGCCTGATTGACTGACCTGCACTTACATTTTGTCTGTGAATTTAGTGGTACATTTGGTATTGTCCATCTTTTTAGGAGGCCTATGACTTGTAAGGCACATTCATTATTTTCAGTTATTCATACACTGTTATGAATAATGGGGGTGACCATATACCTATTGCTGAGAAGCTACATCTGTTTGCTCTGAAGGTCTGGTTATATAACATGTATGCAGCCACTCGTAGAGCCAAGGGATATTTACCAGTCAGGAGGGATGCAAAAAGACACACACAAGCGCACACCTGGCCAGTCAGGGGTCATTGCGAAATAAAACTATGGAATAAAATGTATTCTGAGCGGATGAGTCGTCTGTGCTCACCAGATGCACTTCACTAATTTTGGATTTAAAAAATAATCTATTTTGCAAAGTAAATAGCGTCTGCCGGAAGCCAGTCAGTATGGGATTTGCAGTCAGGCTTAAAGCTGTTCGATGGGCTAACATTAACGTTAGTGTTTGAGTGTGCGTCTGAGTTCACCCTTGAAAGTGAGTTGTCTGGAGGGTGAGCTTTCCTTCGTGGCTGCACTGAGACGAAACACAGATGTAGATTTAGAAGAGGACATGGAGGACGATTCGGACAACCTCACTTCCCTCTCCTCGCAACATATAACAAAAACAGTGAAGATCATCTAAAGGGTGAATGTCACCATATATCAGTGTTATGCAGACCGACCCTTAAGAGCATACCTGCAGCAAATACACAGAAAAAACATCAGTAACCCACAAACTGTTCTTCTTTCTGTTTCACTTCATGACCTGAGGGGTATCCAATAATGAACATACTATTATTATAACTGTAACTAACAGAGTCTTGTTATATAATAATTGAATGGAATATGTTATTGCATACATTCCCTCTGTATTATTACTTTTCATTTTAACCTTCTGCTATTGTAAGGATTTGTTCCAAAGCAGAGAAAGACAGACAAGATAAAGACAAAAAGGGACTTATTTTACTTACTATTCCTTTAGATAACCTTAAGGTAGTATAAGTATAAGCAATCTTACAATATTTTCTGCACCTGTAACTTCTCATGGCACAACTGGAAATTAAATAACAGGTTTTTTTCCTGCTGACTTTTCTTTAAGGTGGTTTTCTCCAAATGCAGAATTAAACTAAATCTCTATTACAGCTATAAGTCAGAGCAGTTTCATTTATCGCATACACAAAAATGCACGTGTGTTAACATGTGATACATCTTTTTTTATTAATTAAGGAAAATATTAAGAGGCGTAGGCACATGCAGATACATGTTTGTATCATAGACCAAACATTAACTCGTTATTACACACTGCATATCAAAGAAAAAAGCGATCTGAGGAAAGACTAAATATGAGAATTAATTAAGCAGCATTCCGTACTTTCTATTCCGAGAAATACAACAATACCCAGCATCCTGTCACTTTGGATCTAGCTTCCTGTTATGATGCACACACCACACCTAATGAGCGGCGTACACGAGGTCCCCTTTCCTGAGTGGCTTAAGGTCTCAGACCAATGGAGGAATCGTACAAACATTAAAGTTTCCATTTTAGAGTAAAAAGCATTAATGAATGGGCAACACCTCTTGCCTATTCACCATGATGTGTTTGACATCCTTCTGACACAAATGATCCCTTAGTGACGCACATGCCAGATTCATTTACTATCACATTTAAAATATTACACTGGCTCTGCAGCCACCGAAACGAGCGGCACAAGCATTTACCCAGTCACCCGAATAGCTCTAATTGCCACTACTCATCAATCATTATATTTGCACCGTGATTCCAAAACTTCTTCCACTGCCAGCAGGTAATGTTGATTTGGTTTAAGTGATAATTACTGCCCCCAGATATTTTTTATTAGCTTAACAGTGATTATCAATAATATTGCTGAACACATTTTCCTTCAATGTGCCTTTTATAAACTCCACATGCAACTTTTTTAAAGTGAGAGTGTGGTTTACACGCAGGCCTGAAGAAGACTGGTTAGCCTGAATGTTAAAATACTGAATGCTGACATAAGACAACGCTGATAACACTGTTTACAGGCTATACACGACTGTGGATAAAAGGATCCCTGAGATGGCATGCAGAAGGGACATTGAGATAGCTGTTTCTCTCACGCTTAAATTCTCTTACCGTCCTGTTTTCCTCTAGGAGACTGTTTAGGCTGTGAGCAGAACCCACTGCTGCGTTATGTAACGTTCAAGGAATAAATGGCCCGAGGTGGTGTGTGAAAACCTCGTCTGAGGTCGCAGGTGACTTGTTATAGTAAACACTTTCTTCAGGGATTTCAGCCAGCAGAAATTCAACTATGACCCAATAGGATTACTGCATAATATAGTGTGCGTTACAGGATCCTTTGCTCTTGCTAGTGTGTGTACTTGTGGTAGATAGCTAACAAGAAGTGGGAGAGGACTTTGTATTTTTGTCACAGCCACACTGTGATTCACATATTCTTTTTTCAGAGATCTCACATCGTTCCTCATCTCCCACCTTCTTTAAGACTTGCTATTGCTGTCGGTAGGCCTGGCATGTCTGGATAAATACATGAATGCTGACCTTTATTGTGTCCCAAACAAACAAGATGTGCAAGTGCTTTCCACAGCTTTGGAGAGGAATTTAAAATAAATGAGAATGAATGGGTTATTGAGGCCTTAAAGGTCACACATTTTAGCGGTGGACATTTTATCTGAAATTATAGCTGTATCTTCGGATTGGCTTTAATCAGGGAAGTCCTCCAGTCTCAAAAGATAAAAACATCGGCAAATCTGAAAATTATAATTTTTGTTATCTTTTAAATATTTCAATACTAAAGCAGACATGCAATACTTTTTCCAGATAATGAAAAAAGACCTCAAATGTGATGAAAACATAACTGATCGACTTGTTTCGTCAGCTGCTCTCTGAATTGCACGAGGTATGAAAAGATTCTTCTTTAATAAAAGCTGTAATGGTAGTGTACACATTCAGCAGAGGAAGGAGCTTTTAAAACTAAATTCCAAGAACCTATAATAAGCTTCCTGCAAAAACACTTCAGTTAATAAAATCCTCCATCTCATTTTTTAAGGATTGGTAAAAAGCGACACATGTTTAGTGAGATTTGGTAAACTTCCCTGCTGATTGGTTGAAGAGGTTTAAATGCTGCAGCAAACACGCAGGTATGAGGGCAAATCAAGGCTTATTCTGTCATATATAGTCGGATCAATCCACTGTTTTTTAAGGTATTGAAAAGTCCTTCTATTCGATATATTTTTCCCACAAAACCCAAAGGGCCACCTCATTTTCACTGAACAAGTGGAGCAATGAGTCAGATATCACTATTGACTCACAAGAAATTATGATTTGGTCACTGTAACAAACATGAGTTATCAGATGATCTACACAAATTGCACATGAGAAAACACAAACAAATAAATAATAATCATTCAATGAATGAATTAGGGCCTCATGGGGCCTGTTCTAAGGCACCTGGTGGCCTTTGTTCTTTCCTTTGACACTGTCTTCGGTCTCTGTCCTTCTTAGTGGTTCAGGTAGGTAGTTTAATTGAATACATGCACAAGTTGGCTTCCTCAGATTTACGTATTCTCACTTGCTGCTTTCTTACAGTTCTTTGTCCTGCTTTCTCAGTGAACGTCCTGCTTACCAAAGATAAGGTAAGTCACCAGAGACGT